CTGTGAACCATTTTTCTGTAGATTTAGCTTAATTCTTTAATTTTTCATATGTATTGTACAAAAAACAAATAAAAATAAAAAATTTGTCCCCCTAACTTCGCCCCTATTCACCAAAAATGTATATACACGTGCATACATTCATATGTGCTATTCTTCCACCAACGTCACCACCAGTACCTCTATCCGCCACAAAATTTGTATATGCTAAATATATATGATACATAGCTACGTATTTCTATATACATTCACGTGTATAATACACATACAATCCGTCTTAGATCGTTAATCTCTTTAACAAAAAGTAACTTTCTAAATCAAACAAAAGAAAGAAAATTTTAATATGAATTTTATTTATCTTTGACAAGACAGAGAATTCAGTACAGCAATTCAATAATCATGTTAACTTGTTATAATCAATGATTTCTTTTGTAGCGTTGGGTCGGCACCGCGGATTTACCACTTGTTTTGGTCGATTTGCGGGGGGGGGGGGGGGGGGGGNGTGCAACAAATAGGAAAAACCATGCATAGTTTACTGGTTTTTAGTGGTTATTTTTGCTATATGTGGGCGTTGTGGTTCTCCTAGCCCATTGGGCTGAGCCGGTTTGTGCTATCTTTATTTTAGCCCTTGGATAAGTTGGACGGTTGGGGTTAATCTTGGATAAGATATTTTTTTAGGGCTTGGCTTAAAAACCCGTCTCTACTTCTTGACTTCTCTCTCTCGACTCTCGACTCTCCTTACAGTAGTTTTGCTAGGGTTTCTTCTCTTCTTTTCTTGGGTGGTTTCTGGTGGTTTCTGTGGGTTTTGCTCTAGTGATTTAGGGGGTTTATAGTGGGCTCTATCAGGCCTGGAAACTGCTGTTTTTGGTGCTGCTTTCTTTCCTGGATCTGTGACTAGGACGGTCAAAACTTGGGAGATCGTTTTTCGATCAATGACCAGAAATCGAACCCAAGGTTCTCTTATAACACTCCTCTGGATGGCGATTTGCGTGGCATGGTTGGGCCGTTCCTGAGCCTGCATTTCAGCCTAAAACAGCAAGAAGAACTGGAGCTTTGGCCGGTAAAAGGGAAGGATCTTTCTGCCCCCTTTTTTGTTCTGTCCAGTATATGTTCTATTTTCGTTTTCTATGTATTATCATGATTTCTTTATGTTATTGAAATTGGTGATTACCTTCTGCTGGGATTAGTTATTGAACTCTGTCATTGTTATATATTGAGCTGTTGAAACTCGGTCTGCCTCTGATTTGGGGTCTACATTATGCTGTAAATTCTTAACAATTATAAACCGTTTAGCTCTTTTCTGGACGCTAAAATTATCGGTAATAATTCTTGCAGACGCTGCCTCAAGCATCAGCAAAGACAGCAGGGCTCCAATGAAAATGCTAAGAATAATCTTGGGAGTTTTGTTATTTTTGTGGGATTCCAATTTGGACGAGGTTGAAATTTGATAACGTAATCTTGATGATGCTTTGTGTCAAAATATTTTGTTTGTGTTCTTCGAAATGAGGGGAAAAAATTATTTCGCTTTTGCATTTATAATTTTTGAAAACATGAGGTGAAAAAAATAAGTCATTTTACGTCCCAACAGATTTCTTGGACAAAACTGTATCTCAAAAAAAGTTAAGGACACAACTGTTATAATGAGCAAAAAAAAAAAGGCTACATTTTGATCTCATCAAAATCTGTTATAGATTCTTCAACATCTACATAGTAGACTTGTACAACGTTCTATTCAAAAATCAAAATGAAAATCCCTTATAATGGTATTTATTTCAAACTCTAGAATCCCATGAATTCATAGAATACAGGAAACTCAGTTCTTGGTGAAAGATATAGTACTGACTTATTGGAAAGAATATGATAAACCACAATCATTAACAGCTTATTCATGTCACAATACCATGAAGATTTCATGCTTGTCAGGTTGATAGACCAACACTGCAAAGTATTACAAAGCAAAACAGAAATCACTGTTTATTCCGGTCTAACACTGCATAACCAACATGCCCTAAATGTCACAAGGGTTGTTGAACGGAATCTTGTTGCCTTCTTCTAACTCATAGGTGAATGTTTTATTTGGAGCTGTGATAGAAGTCGAGTACACAAGTATGGTTTTTATGTATATGTTGTCACGGAAGGCTTAATAGATTCGAAGAAATTACAGTCTCGAAGGCATTCCTCCAGCAACTACCAAAATTTCCCCAGTAACGTAAGAAGCATCATCAGAAGCCAAATAGGCAGCTGCTGCAGCCATGTCTTGCGTGGTTCCAAGCCTATTGAGCAGTGTTTTCTCCTCAAGACCCTTCTTCTGCAAACAGTACCAAAATGTCATGTGTGTGCATGAAAAAGTGTCACTTGATCTAGGGGTGTAAACTAGGTTATGACGGTAACTGATTCACAACTCCAGATAAAAAGTTAAGACGGTAACCGATACTATTGAGGTCTTACCATGCTTTCATCTGTTGTGAGGAATGCGGCAAAGTGTGTTGGAACAAAACCAGGTGCAACGCAATTTACACGAGTATTTGGGGCCATCTCGGCTGCAAGTGCCTAAAAAAAAGCAAAGTCAATAAGATACAAAGTTCCTTAAAAAAGAGATTGTCAAAAAGAAAGGTACCTTGGTAAGCCCAAGCAGGGCTGTTTTGGTCACCCCATACATAGCCAAGGCCGCAGGTGGATGGTAAGCAGCTATGGAAGAAATGAGAACAACTGACGAACCCTTCTTCAAGTGAGGACCTGCCTCCTATCACACAGCAGAAATGCACAATCAACAACATAAAGCTACAAATCTAACATTAAGAACATCTTTGGTATGTAAGACTGGACTCGATAATATAATAAACAAGATTTTAGCATCTCTTTCTTCCTCAAAAGAGTCCAATGCTGTCCAGTCCACCATGCAAAAGAATAACATAAATTCAAAATGAGGCTGAAAGAAAAAGATTGTGTTTACTAAGAACCGTGGATGCATACGACCTGTTATGTACTAGGAACTTAATCATGTAGTGAGACTTACTTGTAAAACTAGTATAGAGGCTTTCACATTGATCTCCCATAATTTATCAAGGACTGGTTCTTTTGTTTCCAAAATGGTATCCACAGCCGGGTTGGCAGCAGCATTTGACACAATCACGTCTATTTTCCCATATTTCTGCAATGGAGTTAAACGAGATGACTATGAAGTTGCAATAAAAATACGAGTAAGGTTCACAAATATGATAACGTATGTTCCAGCCTAATTACGTCATCCAAATTACCAGTCCAAGTCTGTAATTGCACAAACCAGACATCAACAAGGAATACAAGTTTTGGCAGATTAAACCATGTCCCCATGGAATAAAATACATTTGCCTTATAAGAGTTTGGTATAGTGGGAGGACCTGAAGCAAGAAACACAAGCAGAACCCAAATGGACGAATTATTGTCAAAATTACATAAACAACAATTAGGGTACATTAGAACAAGATCAAACTCGGGGAGAGTCCACAAAACAAAGTTTGAGGTCTTGATGCCATGAATTACCTTACTGAACTGCAAAATATCATTTTACTTGTACACTTTGTTGAAGATACAATTATAAGTAAAAAAAATTGTGTCCTCTCAAATGACTCAACCTTTTACATGAGACGTGCAGTATCATAGTAGGCAAAGGTCATGAGTCCATTACGACAAATATAATCTTATGAACATTAAACAACGACCCAGACAACAAAACGAAGACAAAGAAACCAATTAATCATCCTGTGCATTTAAGACTGCGGGTATGCAGCACTAAAAAGTACTATAATGAACAAGATTAGTTAATTTTTTAACCCGGTCAGTACTACTCCAAGACATCATACTGAAGATGCCAGAAAAAGAAAGGAAAAATGAAAGGCTATTACAAACAGAAACCAGCTTTGGTGAGGACTAATAAGCCCAGATTGCTTATTCTTACAAACGAATAATTATTTCCATATTTCAGCTAAAATGAGATAAAAATGATTAAAGATTTTAGCACTATTTTAATACCTGAAGAGTCTGTTCTATCAAATTCTTTCTTTGCTGAGCATTTGACACATGGCATACTACTCCGAACGCTTTAATTCCTCGAGCCTTAAGTTTTTCTACTGCTGCATCTACATTTTTCTGCAAAATCCCTCCCAACACATGAATACAACATTCATATTTTAAATTTTAAAAAATCGAGTTGAAGCAAAATTCAAGAAATCCAGGTTAATTAATCTCTGATATCTTCACAAATACATACAAGCATCAAGATCTATGAAAGACCCATTAAATGAGAATTGATGTTGGGTAAGAAACCCTAGACCTAGACTATAAATTATCCAAAATTAAGCAAATCAGAAATTGGAGCATACCTGTCTGCGGGAGGAGACAACGACAGAGGCACCTTCCAAGCCGAGCCGTTCCGCGATGCCGAAGCCGATGCCCTGAGTCGAAGCCGTGACTATAGCCACCTTCCCTTCAAATCTCTTCCCAATCTTCTCCATTTGCTTTCTTTCTTCTCTTTACATATAGTTTCAGATAAAAATTCGAACTTTATAATCTGCCAAAGGGGGAAAACAGTATTTATTAGTTTCTGGCAATAAAAAGAGTATTATTCTGAGGAAATCATGGTACTTAAATTTCAACCCTTTGATGCAATTTTTTCTTGAGATTCACACCAGTCAACCATAGTAATTAACTAATTATCGACAGATATGATGGCCCCTCATTTACCGAATTGACGTCCCTTTCGGTTTAAATTTTGTTAAAAATTTAATAAAAATTGTGATCAAATCTTTTTAATTTGATTTTGGTTTTTATCAACTTTATTTAGCTAAACCAACGTAGGCCTTTTGTTTGTTTCAACCTTCTCTCTGACGATATGAACGGATATTGAATAGTATTTATAAGCTAATATAATGATTGTGGCGAACTCATCTATTGAGAATGATTTGTTAGCTCCTTGATGGTCCTAAGTATTAGAATAGCTAAGGCTTCACTGTTATTATTTATCATTTTGGACCACTTGGGTTCATAGACGGACCTACATGTGGTCATGTGGGGAAAATTGACCCCACGGAATTTCCCATAAATTTTTTTTTCTTGACAGTTCGCATGAAGTTGAAGATTTTCTACTTCATTTCAACCATGGCTAAATGGGATAATAGAAAAGGTGAAGCTGAAGTAGAAGGGGGTTCATTGGTTAGGGGATTTTGTGGGTTTTGAGGATACGCATTTTGAAATCTTGATAAAGAATCATCTAAACAATGTTACGATTACATAGAATTTTATTTATTTATATTTTTGAAAATTTAGATGGGGTTGATTTTTTGCTTCAATTCAACCTTGGCTAAATGTGATGATAGAGAAGAGAGAAGAAATAGAAGAAGACCTTGAATGTTGATCAGATAGGAGGTTTTGTGGGTTTTGAAGATCTCTTGGAACTCATTTTGAAATCTTGATAAAGAATCTACTAAACAATGATGCTTTAAACAATGTAACAATTTCATTGAATTTTTAGTTTATTTTTTGAAAGTTAGACAAAGAGTTCATTACTTCATGCTTCAATTCAGCCATGGCTAAACAAGATGAAGATGACCTTGAAGGGGTTGATTTGTTAGGGAATTTTGTGGATCTCTGTTAAATTTTGAAATCTTGAAGAAATTTTCATGTTTTTTTTTTCAAAGTTTAGAAAAATACAGAAAGGGATTAAGCAATGTGAGGAGTGGGGTGGGGAAGAAGGGTGAGGTATGGAGATTACTGGTTATTCAAGAATTAAAGCAAAATGAGAGCTTTGGCTGGTCAAGAGCTCACGTTATTCAATATGAGAACTTTTGTTATTCAAAATATTTTGTATCTTGTTTTTAATCCTACAATGGAATATGTTTGGCTGTGTAGACTGCTTTGGTCAACCTTGGTCGATCGTCCCTTCAAAGCGCAATCGAGGTCACCAGCATAAGCTTGCCTTTTTCTGTCAGTTGCCTTCTTTTATAGTTCGAATTAGTGCCTAAATCATTGTTCTCCAATTATTTATGGAGATTTTCAAACGGTGACATTTTCGTAAATGCAAACCCAAAAAATGACATCTGGTGTAATTTCCTCTTATTATTTATTTATTGATTGAGAGTCTCTTTGTCATTTCATGATGAAAGAGATGCACCATTCTCCAATTATTTATTTATTGATTGAGAGTCTCTTTGTCATTTCATGATGAAAGAGATGCATCATTCTCCAATTATTTATTTATCGATTGAGAGTTTCTTCGCCATTCAATGATGAAATGGATACACCAAATAAAATCGTTATGGAATATGTAAAAATACAAATCATTGAGTCTTTCCAAATTTGAGTTCATAGTTTAGCCATGTAACAATGAACTCACCATATAATTTAAGAGTTGTGCTACACGTAAAGGAAAAGCACTGTCAGAATTTTTACAGGTACATCTGGCAATTTTTGATTGGACAAAAAAAATAGTGACCAAACAGGTGCTACGTAAAAAACCTGTACAAAAAAACCCCGTCAATTGTGATCATCTAGAAACTATCCATTCAAACAATTCATTAAAACAACAAAAAAACGACACTGTCAGCAATCCGTATAGTGCTATTCCTAGTACTTTGACTTGAGTCGCCATGGCTACATAGCGGGTCTCATTCTCACTATGGCGCTTTCTCTTCTTTCAGTTATTATCATTCCCTATACTACATCATAGTCAGGGCTGCTCGGGAACGANTTGACTTTTTTTTATTAAAATTTAGAAAGCAACGAGATACATATGTAAATAACGTAAGCTCGCGTACATTTGCATACAATCTATATAATAAAATTACATTAAACGACCAAAGGTTGGTAACTCTGTTCAATGATGATAATAATAGTAATACAATACCAAATTATTTCAAATAACCTCATTCAGAGAGGATTGATTAAAGATTGGAAGACCAAGTAAAATCACGAGATACCGATTGTCTTGTTCAATATCCAGAGTGTAAGAGAAAGCTGAATTGCAAAAATTGTATGGAGCCACGTCCTATCCAGCATAAAACCGTACACAGTAATTCCAGCTCTGTTGTGTTCAAAATATGTCACTGCACAAATTTGCAACCATAATTAGCTGCATGAGAGATCTCTAACCATTTAAACTTTTTTGATTGCCGAGACTTACCCAGGGCTTGTCTCTTCTGGTAGGACATAGTATTTGCATAAGCTGGCACCACGTTTGTGTTATCCAATTCATCATCTCCATCTCCTTCTTCATTATCTGTATCCCAATCAGCAGTAGCACAATATGTCGCCCTGGCTGAAGCAATCTGGGCTGTAGGAGTTTCATCGTCCAAACCATCGAAGGTCTCAATAGTGGCAGAAGCATGCCACTTTGCTGCAAGAGATGTAACAGCCTGCGCTTTGTGTGTGATCTTAGCTGCGCTACGCAAGCATATAAAAAGCCCTGTTACTAGGGTGATGGAGCATAACTGCATCAAAAGGATACGAGATTAGTTAGTCAAGCAATGTATGCAGCAGCGGTGGAAATATTTTATATGGACTAGCATAATCACAGTTAGGTTAATAAAAAGATACAACGCTAGTCGAGCAATGCATATAGGGCAAAATCATAGTTAGGTTATTCAATACTTAGAATTAAAGCAAGTTTTGGAGACAGTAGTACTGAACATGCTTGGTATTACGTATTACAGTATTAGATCATCATTCAATGGACATGTATTTTGACTAACTTGCTCGAGGGCCAGAGACTCCTTTCACAATGTTTTCACACATCAAAAAACCTCACTAACACGATTATTAAGGATAAACAATTTAAAATTCAGTTCCTAGCAACTGATAACACTTGTACTTAAGTTGAACAAGGCTCAAAGCGAAATAATAAGCATCCCGGTGCATCGAGGTGCTAGTACGGTGTGGGAAGTGAGTGGGAATGACAGGTGAGTTCATCACTGCCTTCAGCCTTACTTACCCTTTGATTCAAGCGAAAATGGAGTCACAATTGTCATCATCAAAAATTAACACATAAAACTAGTTTTTACATACACGAACATGCCTCAAATCTATATAATGGTGATTGTAGTACAAATATGAGCCTGAACATAATAAAAGATATTGAAAAATTCGACTCTGCATTTATTCAGCAGCTACTTATTAATCAACAGGAATAAAGCTCGTGCTACATAAAGGAATGGATATTGATTACCGCAAGTTCTCCGGCTGTGAAAACGTCGACTGGGGAGCTAGGTTCAGTCGTGATGAGCAAGGAAGCGAACTGACTCACCGTCACAAGAATCAGAGTCGACAAAATGAATACTCTAAAACGATGGCTTATAACACGAAGGTTTTTTCTGATCCTGAGATGTTCTAACAAGATAGTAGCAACATCAGATTCTTTATTGAAAACCTGAGCAAACTCCTCCAGTCTGAGTATTTGCAGATAACAGGTGAGCCGGAAAATGACACAAACCAGAAAGCAAATGGATGTACGATATAGCCACGAACTCATCAACAATATGCAAATTACAATTCTGCTAATGTAGATATTGTACAAATATGGAATTTGGGTTCCACCTGAGGCAAACCACCATATTTTATACACACTATCTGCAAGAAAACAGGGGAGAACAAAAGCTGATAGAAGCTTCATTGATTTCTGCATAAATCAAACAGTAAAATGTTAGGTCGTGAAACAAAAATGCTTCTGCAGTTGGGGGGATAAAATAAGAAATATAAAGACAAATCAGATGATCTTGCATGAATGCTGAGCGCATTTAGATTGAAGCAAGTTTAGTATGCTAACTTGGAACGAAATCTAAAGACCCTATAATTAGTAACCCTCTAATGTCTTTGCTATATGAATCATTAGTTCATATCAAACTCAACAAGTTATAAATGAAATTAGGCATAAAAATGCAAATTAAGTCAACTATACTGAAGAAAATCTCTATAAATTATATAATTACCCTCTCCCTGCAGGCTATAAAATCTAAAGTAAAGGAAAACACAAAAAGGTCACAGTAATATTCAATATTATCCAACTAGAAAACCTAGTCTTTTGGCCAGCTGCGCATTGCTGGTTCCTTACTTTTCACCCACTAACACAAAATATCTGTGATTCAAATAAACATTTTCTGTGCCATACTTTCTCAAAATCGATAAAAAATAAAATAGAAAAATCACTGATACAAAATGATCTAACAAATAATAGAAATGAAAATGGGGAAAAAGGGATGCAGAAGCTTACATGGAGTTGCTCAGTATATCCTTCCCGAACTTTATCACTCTCATTAGCCACTTTATCGAGAAACAGAAATTTTCGGAGCCCATATTTACGCCCAAAAGAAGAAAGACTAAAGAAAGAAAGTGCAGTGAATAATGAAAGAGATAATTGCACAATCGTATCATAAGGTCTCTGGTGCTTTGCATCACAATTTGAACAAGAGAAAACAAAGTGGGATACAAGCGGTACACCGATATTAAGCAGAAAAAAGATTGACCATGAAAACCCAGCTTTCCATAGACTAGAATAATCAAGAAATACCCAATTGAGACCTGAACTGTAACTCTTCAATTCAATAGGGGACTCGTGATTTGAATGTTCCGATGAAGAAAGCGCCATGTTCTTTGAAAAGAAAGCCTCCCTCTCATCTTCTTCCATGGATCTGGGGATTATTTTGTGATGATGTTTCACGATCACAGTTTATAAAAGAGAATCCAACAGGAAGTTTACTCGGGGATCATAAAAATTGTTGATTGCATGAATGCTTCGGGTTTCGAATACAAGTTGGGAATAGAATATATTATATAAAAGATTATCACTTGGGTGGAATTAGAGAAATGTTACTCTCGCAGTCTCTCTCTCTCACACACAACAAATTAACAATAATAATATATAGAGGAAATTTTCAGCTTTGGACCCAACTCTCTACCTTGTATCAATTTGGTCACCAATATTCAAATCTGAACATTTATACCCATGATCTCTCAATCAGTTGCAGACTTAAACCTTATAAAGTCATTTTTTGTTTGTTAAAATCATGAATTTGATCTTATTCTTATCTCTCCCTACTCCTTAACTATATTTCCGTGGACACCTCGTTCCCTTGGATTAAATGAATTGAAAGAGTTTGTGAAAACTTAAACGGCGAATAAGTGGAGAAGTTGTAGGGTGGAAAGATAGAAGAGAAATCATGTAATATTTAGTAGACTAAAATAATTGTTTGTTCAGATTTAAAAGGTTGAGGACTAATTTGTTACGAGTATCAAAGGTCGATTACCAATGCTGTAACTGTTTCACTTATATTAATATATTTGGTAAGAACGTATTAAGTCAAGCTGATTAGATTAATCTAATGATCGCTCAAATAATAGCAAAAAAAAAAAGGGTAATACAGGTGGCAGACTGATTTTTAATTCTTACCTTTTTAAAGCCAAAAATTATAATCACACGATTAATTGGATTCACGAATGCTGTCTACTTATATTCGATAAATATCTCGATAAAATAGTCATATATGCACATGTGATAGGATTGATCATGATGTATCGACATTTCAGATTCACTTTGTTTTTCTCCAACGATTTCGAACGTCAAGAGTTGTGATTTGAATGATTCGAAATATCATAATTTGAATGATCAATCATATCACCAGTATATATAGAAATATCCTATTAACCGTTGTTCGGGCTCAATTTCTGTCAAAATATATTTTTATAACTCTTATTTTTAACAACACGGTTTTCAATCAAATAACATTATACGTAAATTCATAATTTTTTCTTATTTTTTAATTACACATTTTTCAACAAAATCACTATTTCAAAAAAAAAATCGCAAATTCCAATTTTAAGGTCTTTCCCCAGTTATCTTCTACTTGTTTTCGATGAAAAGGAAATAAAGGTCAATTAAAGCACAACAAGAAACCATATATCTCTGTCCTATTACGTACAAGTGTCGTGATACAGTAGGTTCCCTTCACCGGCGCGTGAAGTCACGAGTGAAAACGCGTAAAGCCGGTCTCCAAATGTCATAATTTGAACGGTGGGAAATTAGGCCGATAGTATTCAGTATTGTTTTATTTTTATGACACGTAATTGTTAATAAAGACTTTTATACAAAAATATATTTTTATATTCACAATTAAGATATATATCAGTTACTTATTGTGAATGTAAAATAGGAGTTATTTTACATAATCACAATCACGCAAAGAGTGTTGATTATCGATGGAAGACAAATTATTTTTTTATTGTGACATTAATACATGTAGATGAATTTATAAATAAATCTATAAAAGTCCGATTAATTTTTTTCTTAAAGGGTGAGTATACTAATTGTCAGACTGTTTTTCTAAAGAAAGAATATAATGATAGGAAAAATTAATAATAATTTAATAACCACTAGTTAAGGTTACATTATTATCTTGTATTGATTAATTATTATCAATTTTTATATTAAAAAAATTGAATTATGACATGAATTGAAAAATTTCTCAGATTTTGATACT